CTTTAGCTAATAGTACTTATTTATTAGATACTAGTTCATATTTATTAGATATGTGTATTGAAGAAGTGTATTGAAATATAGTGACTACTGTTATTTTACTGTTACTAGTAACACATTTCAAATGTTTACCATTTAATTCTATGTGTATCTGGCATTCAGATATCAACTATTCAGTATTCATTAGATACTAGAACTTATTGAATACATACTATTACTTTTCATTATATATTAATAGATCCAAGTTATTCATTAGGTACTAGTACTTATTATTTAGACACTAGTATCTTTTGTAATTCTTAACAAATCTTATACTAATTTTTAATAAATACTCTCTATTTAATAAATAAGTATCTATTTAGTATAAATATATTTAATAAACCAATTTTTTATATTAGAATTATGAAAAACTGGTTGGCGCCGATAGCCTCATGGGTAACGCTAGCGCTTTGGGTGTCCCGTGTTCGAGTCCCGGTTTGCGGACCTTTCTCGATCCCATCCCCCCCCCTCTCTCTCTCCAACTTCGCTTTCTGTCTAACTACTATCCTATCAATTAAAGGCAAAATCGCCAAAAAAAAAAAAAAAAATTATGAAAAAGGGGTTTTAAGGAATGATTCAATGACTCATAAATACTTCACTTGTTTCATTACTGGATGAATCAGCATTTTTGAATGAATCTCTTGAATAAATGATTCAGTGACAAATACATTTTTAACAGGCACTTGTCTCCACCTACTGGAGAAACTATGTCATCGACACAATCAAGCATTATTTGAAGCGCCAGTTACTTTCAAAAGGTGATTTGCTCTATTTTGATCGCAACCAGACATCAATGTTAATATCCGACCTTTATCCCAGTATTTCTGTGATAATATGAATGACTGTAAGACAGAAATAATACTGTGTTGTTGAAGAGACTCTTTGTGAAGCTGTTTCTTACCTAAACATGGTAACTATCTGCTCTCTGTGTCAGCAGCAGTGCAAACACAGATTTGAATGTTCCGGTATGATTTTTTCAATGCTAGTAGCTAAAAATGAGTGGACTTACTAGTAGCATAAAAATAGATTCTATACATTTTAAGGATTAAATCAGGGTGACAATACATCATCTTTTTCCCAGACATATCCTCTTTTTGGACCTACATCCGGTCAGGATTTCTAAATCGCCCAAAATGTCTGGGATTCAGCTTTTGCTTTATACAGTCACCATTCATTGCATTTTTGTATTAAAGCCCAGTGCGGGACTGTTTTCTTAATCCCGCTCCCACTGAATTTCTGACGATTACCGCCTGCTCCCGCAACGTGTTTGTTCCTCTCCCGCAATTTTTGTGTCCAGTCCCGCCCACTCCCGCAAACATTTTAATATTCCATATATTTTTTGCATATCAGGGATCAATATGCAGAGTATTTAAAGCTATTTTGAATGAGCACTCTGTTCATTTTCACTTTACACTCTGTGTAAAGGGAGCACATACTATCCTATCAATTAAAGGCAAAATCGCCAAAAAAAAAAAAAAAAATTATGAAAAAGGGGTTTTAAGGAATGATTCAATGACTCATAAATACTTCACTTGTTTCATTACTGGATGAATCAGCATTTTTGAATGAATCTCTTGAATAAATGATTCAGTGACAAATACATTTTTAACAGGCACTTGTCTCCACCTACTGGAGAAACTATGTCATCGACACAATCAAGCATTATTTGAAGCGCCAGTTACTTTCAAAAGGTGATTTGCTCTATTTTGATCGCAACCAGACATCAATGTTAATATCCGACCTTTATCCCAGTATTTCTGTGATAATATGAATGACTGTAAGACAGAAATAATACTGTGTTGTTGAAGAGACTCTTTGTGAAGCTGTTTCTTACCTAAACATGGTAACTATCTGCTCTCTGTGTCAGCAGCAGTGCAAACACAGATTTGAATGTTCCGGTATGATTTTTTCAATGCTAGTAGCTAAAAATGAGTGGACTTACTAGTAGCATAAAAATAGATTCTATACATTTTAAGGATTAAATCAGGGTGACAATACATCATCTTTTTCCCAGACATATCCTCTTTTTGGACCTACATCCGGTCAGGATTTCTAAATCGCCCAAAATGTCTGGGATTCAGCTTTTGCTTTATACAGTCACCATTCATTGCATTTTTGTATTAAAGCCCAGTGCGGGACTGTTTTCTTAATCCCGCTCCCACTGAATTTCTGACGATTACCGCCTGCTCCCGCAACGTGTTTGTTCCTCTCCCGCAATTTTTGTGTCCAGTCCCGCCCACTCCCGCAAACATTTTAATATTCCATATATTTTTTGCGTATCAGGGATCAATATGCGGAGTATTTAAAGCTATTTTGAATGAGCACTCTGTTCATTTTCACTTTACACTCAGTGTAAAGGGAGCACATCTTACAAAATCAGATATTACTTTTATTATTTATTTAGATACTTTTATATAAAAGTATATAAAACCCCCCGGGTTAAAGGTTTGGAAATATTGCGTAAATTACATTTGACTGAAATGCTTGTATTGAAACATTTTGCATTCTACCTATGATAAAACTGTGCTAGATGTTACGTTTTGTGAAGGATGGTAGGAAGCCTTTTAGATGTGTTTTAGAGGTCTTCACGGGTCCAAAAATTGAGAGACCCGTAAATGTGCTGCATGGACCCGACCATTATTCGAAAGTTGGACCCGAACCCGGCTGGGAAGACACAGACCTAACTGCACCCAATCGGCACATATTGCACAGCAAACTGCTATTAACAAGTCAATAAACAAGTTGCGGAAAAAAATATTTGACTAGTCGGTGCAACCCCTAGTAGCCTTCTCCCTGACTGCGATGTATACAATCCTCCTTGGCAATAAATTTCCATCCATGTTAGGCTGTTCCTCACTCTTGCCGACTGAAAGAGCCGTCTTAATCCACTCATTATTCCAGCTTCAAAAGTCTACTTGCTGTCACGGTCGGTGACGGATGACTAATGCAACTTAAGTTTTTTTTTTTTTGCATCTCGTGTCAACTTCGACTGCTGTGTTTACCCTTTTTAACTACAATAATGATACTTTTTGTTGGTTGTAATAAAGACTCGGAGCAATTATTTTTTAGCAAAAAACGCACAGAACAAGAAGTTCGTTACACTTTACTGCGTGCGTGTTCAATAACAGGTGCATCTCTTCAGTAAAAGAAAACGATACAAAACACATGCAAAGTGCTGACTGACACTGATCACTGATGGGGGCAGTGTTCTCCGATCGACTTGGTTATTACACACAAAGTTAAACAGACCCAGGACCCGAAGTAATAAATTGGGACCTGACCCGGCTGACCATTTAAAATATAGACCCGAACCCGTACGGGTCCTTGGGTCTCGGATCGCCGTGATTTATCCAAGTAAGACATGTTTCCTGGATCAACATTACTGTCCAAAAATACAGACTTAACCCAATCCCTACCCATGAACCTAACCCTACCCAAAATGTATTCCTAAAATCAGTGGGAAATGATAGCTGATTAACAAGGGTGTAGAAGCACCAAACCCTGATCATAAGCCTAAAACTGAAATTTCCTGAAAAGATATCCCTCAATTCTGATTGGTTGATTGGAATGTTGTTCCAGGATCAACAAGGATGTACTTGGTGAAATCATGCTCACCGTCTCAGTTCCTCCGTGAAGACCTCTACTGTGTTTATGATCAATCTGCATAACAGTGACTGTAAAATATATATTTTAGGTAAGGAAATTACTACTTTAACCCCCCTCCCCCCTCCTCGTCTGCATCCTGCCCCCACTGTCCTCTTTTTGGAAAACTAATACATGGTCATCCTAATTAAATGTTAAAACGGCTTGCCATAAGCGGCCCTCTGCACTGCACTGAACGCTGAGGCAGTTAAGCAGCGTCTGTTCGCACCGAGACTGGCAGTGAGCTGATACAAGAGCCACATTCCTGTCTTTATCTGCTGTGTAAGACCAGACGACGAACTCGTCAGAACCCCGGAGGATTTTAAACATGCGCTCTGCTCTGGATGAATAATGATGGATAACTGGGGGTCTGCTGCTGGAAATGCGATGGTTTCTCTACAATGGGAAATACGTTCCACTATGTTACTGGATTCATGTTTTATAGCGTCAGAAGTATGCCAAGTTTACAAACGTGTGCTGAGGAAAAGATTTATTCTGTTTATTTTGCACTGAAATTAAGATTTCGACTTTCATCAGCTTTGGCAGAGCATTTTAAGCTCAGCAGAAAATCACCCAACTATTACTCAACTGCATGCAGGCTTTTATTAAAAACAAACAGGTTATCACACACAAAGTTATGACATATGTACAGAGAGCCCCCCACCCCCCTCCCCCCAAAAAGGGACCTGGAAACTTTAGAACTTGAAAAAGTCTGAAAGTCATTGAATTATATATCAAAATATCAAACCAAGTGGAATTTATTTGAACGAAATATAGCACAAGCAAAGTGTTTTGCAAAAGGAAGTTTGTTACGGGAATTTTTGATAAAATATGGATGTAGATCATTTAAAAAACGAATTAACATTGGATTTGTGGACACATTGTTTATATATACATATATATATATATAGTTATTTATTATTTGTATACTTTTAATTGTAATTAATGGTGTTATTCAAAAGTTAAGTGAGTTAGATGTTTCAGTGCATAGTCTTCATTATTCATTTAAACCTATGGGCTATAATGAAATCATTTAATTTGAGTGTTATTATTATGACATATCTTCAGGTAAAATATGGGCAAATAAATATGTATATGTTCATATACCTGTATATTGAATACATTTAGCTTTCAGACAAATCTCTTTTAGTGGGATTCTGTTTTGTCCATCTTCAGTTATTCAATAATTTAACCAAATTGCTAAAAAACTATTTTAAATTAAAATAGCTGATTTAGGATTTTACATTAATGGCATTAATTTTTTAAAATATTTTTCTTTTTTAAACAGTTGTACTAATAAATGTAATAAATATAAACAAATGTTGAAACCGCACTCCCTGGCCTCCACTAATGATCCTCTTGAATCCTCTAGTGGACAGTTTATGTCCGGCGAGGCTGACAGTCCGTGGGCCTGTTTGCGTGCAGCCTGTTTTCAGTGAGTTTCAGTTAATAATGGATGCTAAGGGTCCAAAAAACAAAACCAAACACACACACACACACACACACACACGAGTAACACCTTGAATTCAATGTATGTTTTAAGTAAACTTTGCCTTTTGTTCTTGTCTAAAGTAGGTTTGAATTCATCCCTTAGAATAGTTTTAAGCACAGGATGGCTTTACAAAATAAAGAGGAATAATACATGGAATATAATTCATTCTGTAGCTAAAACTGGCTATTTATGCTTTGAGTGTTTTGTGCTGTATGAAGTGGCATACTGTCTATATGCACAAACTAAAGCTGACTATCTGTGTCCACGCAGTGAAGCCGGGTCAATGTCCCATACCGGAGACAATTCCACTGTGTGCTGAAAGCTGTTTCCATGATGGCCAGTGTCCTGCCACATGTTGCCCAACCACCGGTGGCATTGCATGCCGTGAACCACGTGGTCAGGGAAGAGGTCAGGCAAGTTGTCAGGAAAGCGGCCATGGTCCGGGAAGCAGCCAGAGAAGTGGCCAGGGAAGTGGCGAGGGAAGCGGCCAGGGAAGCGGTTATGGCCAGGGCAGCGGCCAGGGAAGCGGTTATGGCCAGGGTAGCGGCCAGGGAAAGCGGTTATGGCCAGGGTAGTGGCCAGGGAAGCGGTTATGGCCAGGGTAGCGGCCAGGGAAAGCGGTTATGGCCAGGGTAGTGGCCAGGGAAGCGGTTATGGCCAGGGTAGCGGCCAGGGAAAGCGGTTATGGCCAGGGTAGTGGCCAGGGAAGCGGTTATGGCCAGGGTAGCGGCCAGGGAAAGCGGTTATGGCCAGGGTAGTGGCCAGGGAAGCGGTTATGGCCAGGGTAGCGGCCAGGGAAAGCGGTTATGGCCAGGGTAGTGGCCAGGGAAGCGGTTATGGCCAGGGTAGCGGCCAGGGAAAGCGGTTATGGCCAGGGTAGTGGCCAGGGAAGCGGTTATGGCCAGGGTAGCGGCCAGGGAAGCGGTTATGGCCAGGGTAGTGGCCAGGGCCAGGGAAGTGGCCATGGTCAGGGAAGCGGTCAGGGAAGCAGCCAGGGAAGTGGTTATGGCCAGGGTAGCAGCCAGGGACGCGGCCATGGTCAGGGAAGCAGCCAGGGCCAGGGTAGTGGCCAGGGCCAGGGAAGCGGTTATGGCCAGGGTAGTGGCCAGGGAAGCGGTTATGGCCAGGGTAGCAGCCAGGGAAGCGGTTATGGCCAGTGCCAGGGAAGCGGTTATGGCCAGGGTAACGGCCAGGGCCAGGGAAGTGGCCATGGTCAGGGAAGCGCCCAGGGAAGCGGTTATGGCCAGGGTAGCGGCCAGGGAAGCAGCCAGGGAAGCGGTCATAGAAGCGGCAAGGGAAAAGGCCAGGGAAGTGGTCATGGTCAGGGAAGTGGCCAGGGTAGCGGTTATGGCCAGGGAAGCGGCTATGGTCAGGGAAGTGGTTATGGTCAGGGAAGTGGTTATGGTCAGGGAAGCAGTCAGGGTCAGGGAAGTGGTTATGGTCAGGGGAATGGTCAGGGATGTGGTCAAGGAAATGGTCAAGGATGTGGTCATTGAAATCATCATGGGACTTCTGCATGACTCTTACTGGAGAACTTTTCAATTCAGTGCCTTATTCATATGGCATGCTTTCCCTGTTTGCTCAAACAGTCTAGAAAGACTTTCTCAACTTTTTGTTATTATTATTATATAAGCCTATAAATGCCGAGGTCCGGATCTCACAGATCTCATTCTGGGAACGGCAGTGTGTTCAACTCTGTTTTTATACAGTCTATGGCAGAGTTCCTCAAATCTTGCCCTGGTGGGCCAATGCGCTGCAGAGTTTAGCTCCAACCCTGATCAAACTCACCTACCTGTGATTTTCTAATGATCCTGAAGACATTGATTAGCATGCTCAGGTGTGTTTGATTAGGGTTAGAGCTAAACTCTGCAGGAAAGTTTATCTCGTGGGCCAGATTTGAGGATCCGTGGTCTATGGTTTAAAGGGGTCATATGATGTTGCTAAAAAGAACATTATTTTGTGTATTTGGTGTAATGAAATGTGTTTATGCGGTTTAAGGTAAAAAAACCACATTATTTTCCACATACTGTACATAATTGTTTCTCCTCTATGCCCCGCTTTTCTGAAACGCGTCGATTTTTACAAAGCTCATCTGTCTGAAAAGCAAGGTGAGCTGTGATTGGACAGCTATCCAGTGCGTTATGATTGGCCGAATACCTGAAGCGTGTGACGGAAATGTTGCGCCCCTACCATACTGTGATGATGCCCTGTCCGGCTGGAGCGATGATTCACAAACATGAAAACCCATTATAAACGAGGTATTTGTTGCATCCAGTGGGGACATAATTATAGATTTGAATGACTTATACTGTCTTTTAACGTGTTGCGTTGCATCGCGCTGCGTAAACATAAAATATTAAAGGGCGGCGGCAACAACAACACTACAGCAAGAATAAAAGTTACGCCTTCTTTCTTTGCATGAACATTTGGGCGGTGTTATGCAAATCTTCCCACATAGTGACGTAGATATAGAAAGAATAATAAAGAAATCTTGAATATGTGGGGGAATTGACCTATCGGTAAGCCCCTCTCCTCGAATGCAGATGAGACCATGGCCGTTAACTACCAGCTGCACGGGGACCAGAAATCAGACATCTTTAGGTTTCAGTGCCATAGAGAAACACTGGAAGATCCGAAGATTTCATCGGTTTAATGGTGTTTATGCTACAAAAATGGAAAACCGATGTGCCTGGGGTACTTGTAACACCGTTTCCATGTATCCTGAGAGGATGGGCAATGGAATTTATATTATTCAATTACCTTAACCCAAACAAAACGGAGCAAAATCGCACGTCAAAGGCGGAGTTCCAGAACACACCCACCGACTGCGTAATCCCCACGGACCAATAATTAATTTTTTTCTTTTCATTTAATTTATGGGCACCTTTCAAGACACTCAAGGACACCCTACAATAATAAAATACATAATTAACAGAAGAAAAAAACAAACAATACAACACAAACAATAATACAAAGAAAAGCAATACCCAATAACATAACTAAATCACTCAGGATAGGCTAATCTAAAAAAATGAGTTTTGAGACGTGATTTAAAAATTGAGAGACTAAAACTATTACGTATGTCCTGAGGTAGAGTATTCCAAATTGTCAGAGCATTGCAACTAAACTCTACCTCCCATGGTAGTCAAATGAACAGATGGTACAACAAGAATCACAGAAGCAGAAGACCTGAGAGATCGGGTAGGTGAATACACATGAAGTAGTTCACTCAGATATGAAGGTGCTAGATTGTGAAGAGCCTTATTAGTGAAAAGTAAAATCTTAAATTGAATTCGATATCTAATTGGAAGCCAATGAAGGTGCCTTAAAACTGGAGTAATATGCTCATTCAATAGTGTTCATGTAATGATCCGAGCCACTGAATTCTGAACCATCTGAAGTTTATGAATACGTTTCTGTGAAACACCACTGAGAAGAGAATTACAGTAATCAATTCGAGACGTAACTAATGCATGTGCAAGGACAGCAGTACCATTAGCAGAAAGAGATGGTCGAAGACGATTGATATTTCACAGATAGTAATATGCTGACCATGTAATATTATTTACATGTGCCTCAAAAGACAGAGTGCTGTCAAGGATCACACCAAGACTCTTAACCTGAGAAGGAGAGATAACAGAATCGTCAATAGTAAGTGTAAAACTTCCATGATTATGCAGTTTTGATTTAGCACCTACTAATAAGATTTCAGCTTCTCATCATTAACTTTGAGAAAATTGCATGTAAACCATGATTTAATTTCAGAAAGACAAAGCAAAAGGGAGGAAGACGGTAATACTGAATTAGGCTTCGAAGACATATAGAGCTGGGTATCATCTGCGTAAAAGTGAAAGTTTATATTAAACTTACGGAAAATCTGTCCTAGAGGCAAGAAATAAACAATGAACAGAAGAGGGCCCAACACGGAGCCTTGAGGCACACCACTGGTTATCTGAGATATCCGCGATTTAAATTTTTTTATCTGAACGAACTGAGTCCGACCAGATAAATATGATTTAAACCAATCAAGGGGGATACCAGTGATTCCAATAGAAATCAACCTCTGCAATAAAATACTATGTGAGATAGTGTCAAAAGCTGCAGTTAAATCGAGAAGAATGAGTATTGATAAAAGTCCAGAATCCGCAGCCATTAAGAGATCATTTGTGACTTTAATAAGTGTCTCCGTGCTATGATATGGACGATAGGCAGACTGAAATTGCTCAAACAAGTTATTCTCCATTAAATGAGCATGTACCAGCTGAGCAACAATTTTTTTCCAGTAATTTCGAAAGAAAAGGTCAATTAGAAATGGGTCGAAAGTTTTCTGGGTTATTAAGATCCGCACCAAGTTTCTTAAGTATGGGAGTTATAGCTGCTACTTTAAAGGATGAAGGAATAGTACCAGTGATAAGACAAGAATGTATGATTTGAGTTATCAGTGGTAACAAGGAAGGTAAACAAAACTTAAGATGTGTGGGAATAGGGTCTAACTGACAGGTAGTAAATTTAGATTTTTGGACACATTCCACTATTTCATTAGCCGTAGGCAAATCAAAACTAGAAAAAGCAGTTAAAGTGGAAACATCCTGAAACGAGAAGAATGAACCACATGCCCCATTATTGTGAGTTAAATTCTTTTGAATAGTTTCAATTTTATCACTAAAATAAGTCATAAAAGTATCACATATAGTATTAGAATGTGAATGTAATGAAAAAACATCTGGTGGTCTCAAAATATTATTCATTGTAGAGAACAATATTTTTGTATTCCACCATCAGAGTTTATCAAATTGGCATAATAATTTGTTTTAGCAGTAGAAAGGGCTTCTTTGTAGTCTCTAATACGGTGATCATACATTTCCTTGTGTACAATTAAACCAGATCTCTCTTTGAGCAATTTTTGATACAGTTAATTTGGCACTGAAAGACACAAGTTTATGATCAGATATGGACAGGTCACGTGAACTACAATTAAAAGGTGTTATTCCAGTGCAACAAATAAGATCAAGTATGTGACCTTTTGAATGAGTTGGAAAATCAATAAACTGTTTCAGTCCAAAGCTATCCAAGCATGATAGAAAGTCTTTTGTATCAGTAGCAGTAGCTTTATCAACATGGATGTTAAAATCACCAACCATAATCACATTTGGAGAAACAGAACATAAAGTTTAAAAAGCTGAAAGTTCAGTTAAAAAGTTAGTCTAGCACTGCAGGATTTGAGTCCCTGGCGGCGCAGTGTGTTACTGATGGTAGCCTTTGTTACTTTGGTCCCAGCTCTCTGCAGGTCATTCACTAGGTCCCCTCGTGTGGTTCTGGGATTTTTGCTCACAGTTCTTGTGATCATTTTGACCCCACGGGGTGAGATCTTGCGTGGAGCCCCAGATCGAGGGAGATTATCAGTGGTCTTGTATGTCTTCCATTTTCTAATAATTGCTCCCACAGTTGATTTCTTCACACCAAGCTGCTTACCTATTGCAGATTCAGTCTTCCCAGCCTGGTGCAGGTCTACAATTTTGTTTCTGGTGTCCTTTGACAGCTCTTTGGTCTTGGCCATGGTGGAGTTTGGAGTGTGACTGTTTGAGGTTGTGGACAGGTGTCTTTTATACTGATAAAGAGTTCAAACAGATGCTATTAATACAGGTAACGTGTGGAGGACAGAGGAGCCTCTTAAAGAAGAAGTTACAGGTCTGTGAGGGCCAGAAATCTTGCTTGTTTGTAGGTGACCAAATACTTATTTTACCGAGGAATTTACCAATTAATTCTTTCAAAATCCTACAATGTGATTTTCTGGATTTTTTTTTTCTCATTTTCTCATAGTTGAGGTATACCTATGATGAAAATTCCAGGCCTCTCTCATCTTTTTAAGTGGGAGAACTTGCACAATTGGTGGCTGACTAAATACTTTTTTGCCCCACTGTATATAGCATTGTTAGACCGCCACCTCGACCCGAGACTCGGGGCTGACATGCATAAGCAAAACCTGGAGGAATGGACTGATTCAGCTGAGAAAAGTCATTGTGTTGCTGCCATGTCTCAGTCAAACAGAAAAAACAATGGTAGCTCAAAAGGTGTTTAGGAGGCAAAACGAACTCCCCCAAAAAGTTTGCTTTGGTGAGCGGTTTCGAACTGCCAAAATGAACTCAAAACGAACTTCGTTTCGGCCTGATTTTGTTTGAAATGACGTCATTTCAGTTCGTTCTTTGATTTCGTTTGAAGTATATTAAGTGAATAAAATGCAATATTTGTCAAGAGACATTTTCATGAAGCAACAGAAACACTTCTATGGCAAGCCGTTTTAGCTTAAAATATTCCAAGCATTACTCGTCGTAATTGCATTTTTACTAGTAACAATTCAATTAGAGAGCTCTACAATTCAATTATTTCTAGTAACAATGCCAATTAGAGAGCTCTCTAAATCTATTTTAACTAGTTACAAATGCAATAAGAGAGCTTTCTTATTTAATTAGTGAGCTCTGCAATTGCATTCTTACTA